TAGGGACTCTTTTCACTTTGATTACATTATCTTCTCAATCCCTTTTCTATTAATCACTATGACACCATGTACCACCATGTTGCTATAATTAACTGCCTTATGAATCGTATCATAGCTTTGAGACAAAATGTAGCACTGTGTATCTGTGATCAAGCATTCCTCACTAGCTTTTCCACTGCTCGATTCCAAGTAAAGAAATGCTTTGGTAAAATAAAAATAATAATATTACCCTAGTAATAATGATAAGCTCCCACTAATTTCTTGTAATTCGGTTGATTTTGTAGGTTTATGTTATTTTTCATAATAATAATAATAATAATAATAATAATAATAATAATAATAATAATATTGTAGGTTGTATGATTTTGTCTGTTTTTGATATAATAATAATAATAATAATAATAATAATAATAATAATAATAATAATAATAATAATTAGTACATCAGAGTAGCATTGAATTATTTAATTCTAAAAGAATTTACAAATCTCTCATTTAATTGGCTATAAATAAAATTTATAATCTTACATGGCGCATTAAGAAAATTTAATCCTACGTGGCTCTCTAAGAACTTGGAAACTCCCCCCCCCCACATACACATATATATGGGCTCTTCAAAAAATTCGGGGATATGAAGCTATTTAATCTAACCAAGACTAAATAACAACTAAATTGGTGACTTTCTCAGCAAATATCATATGCAATTCTCTTGCTAAAACAGTTCTTACGAATTGATCAATTATAACTCAAAACTTCTCTGACTTCATTAATGAAAATAAAAACTATATATTTATAGGCAAACATCCCATGCCATTAGGATAACTAAAAGATAAAATAAAATATATAAGATATAAATACTAAATACTAATCCTAAAAAGCAAAATATATCTTCTAAAAATATTAGAAAATAATATCTTATCAATCTACTAATTCTACTCCAACTCTAATTCGATTAATCACGCGTACTTTTGGATTGACGCCACTCAATCTCATGATTAATAGAAGACTCAATAAAAATAAATAAAAATAATAATATGATGATATTGATGCCTTGGATACGCATCATACTCCCCCTCTTGAAAAAACACTTGACCTCAAGTTTCATTGGGAAAACAAGGAACTAGGTCGCATGAAGACAAGGTAGCACATACTCCATCACCCAATAGGACCTTAAAGGTTTCATACCCCCACCTTGTCAATGATTTGGAACGAACCCTCATCCACAGGTTCACCATCCTTATGATTCACGAGAAGCCTTTGATCCGTGATTGACAACCAAACTCGATCACCTACATCCAATGTTGTATCCTTTCTCAATTGTAGTACTTGGTTGCGTCGATCTTTCTTAGTAGTGGTAGTATCAAGCACCTCGTCACGGCAAGAACTCAAGCATGCATGATTAGAACTCTCTTGTTTACTTGTAGGTGACTGTCTTCTTGGTGGTAAAGGTTGGAGGAGCAACCGTTTATCACCCATAAGCACATAATACTCATTTGTCTTGCCATTGTGGATGACATGACGATCGGTTTGCCATGGACGACCTAAAAGTAGAGCAAGAGCAGTCATAGGAATCGCGTCGAACCAAATTTCATCCGTATAACTTCCCACTTTAAAATTAACCAATGCTTGATTTCGAAACCAAATGCCTCCATCTTCATTCAACTAATTTAATTTGTAAGCATGAGGGTGTTTACGTATAGGTAATTGCAAAGATTCGGCTAAATTTAGAGCACACACATTAGTGCAACTTCCACTATCGATGATAAAAGAGCACACTTTATCCTTAACAAGACAATTTGAGTGGAAGAGATTACACATTTGAGTGTCAAAACCATCCTCCGGAGCGGAAATCAAAGAACGCCGCAAGACCAAAGCATGTCCTCATCTTCCGGAGTGCATCGTGGTTGAGTTTACCAAAAATCCGACGATGTAATATCGTTCAAAGGTTGTTGCTCATCTACTGTCACTACTAGAAAACACCTTATTTACGACGGAAAAATTCCGTCGGTACACCTTATAAATCCGTCGAAAAGGGCTGTATCCGACGGATTTCCGTCGGAACACATTGTCGGAAACCCCTTTGTAGGAAATTTGGCTTATACCGAGGGATTTTCCGTCGGAAAAGGCCCTACCGACGGAATTCAGACGGAATACATTCTGTCGGGGCTAGTTTTGACTTTAACCATAATTCCGTCGCAAATTTCCGGCGGAATTTTCCGTCGGAGTTGAAGTGGATTCCGACGGAATTTTCCGTCGGAAGAAGAATTTTCCGTCGAAAACGGCATATTCCGACGGAAATTTCCGTCGGAAAATTCAACAGAAAAAAATAAAAAAAAAAGCCCCCCCACCCACCCCCACCTGCCCAGACCACCCACCCACACCCACCCACCCACCCACCTCACCGAAACCCACTCAGCACCACCCACCCAGCACCACCCCCCCAGACCACTACCCACCCAACACCACCCTCTTAGACCACCACCCCCCCACCCACCACCCCCACCCAGACCACTACCCACCCAAACCACCCCCCACCCACCACCACGCCCACGAACCGAAACCCCCCCACCCACCCAACCCAGACCAAAACCCACCATGACCAACCACCCTAACCAACCATCCAGCACCCCCCCACACCCAGAACCCCCCCCACCCAGACCACCACCCACCACCCCAACCCAACCTAACCCAGACAAGACCCCCTACCACCCAACCCAGAACAAACCTACCCACCCACTCTAACCAACCACCCACCCTAACCAATCACCCATCCTAACCAACGACCGAACCCAAACATCCAAAAATCGAAAAATCGAAAAAATTAAACAAAAAAAAATTGAAATCAAACAATTATCCCAAAAAATAATTTATCTTACAATTATCATACAAATTAAATAAAATAGCATTACAATTATCCCAAAAAATAATTTATCTTACAATTATCATACGAAATTAATCAGAATTTGATTATTTTTTTTTTAAAAAACTAGATCTACAATTGTGGTGGTTGTCATTGTGGCTGCCTGCTGGTGTTGTTGTCGTTGCGGCTGCCTGCTGGTGTTGTTGTTGTCGTTGAGGTGGTTGTTGTCGCTGCGCGTTGGTGTGGTTGTTGTGTTGTTGTTGAGGAAAGGCGAAATGGTTGAGAAAGAGAAGGAAGGAGAAGGCGAAATGGAGGAGAAAGAGAAGGAAGGAGAAGGAGAAATGGAGTAGAAAGAGAACAGAAGAGAAGAGGAAAGAAGAGAGGAGAGAGAGAAATAGAAGAGAGGCGGAGAGGAGAGGAGAGAGAAAATAGACATTTTAGGGGGAGGGGAAACCGGGTTTATTAGGTTTTTTTTTATTATGTAAATATATTCCGACGGAATTAATTTCCGCCGAAAAATAATTATTTCGACGAAATATTCCGTCGGAAAGCTCCGACGGATTTTATTTCCGTCGAAACCTTACGTTTCGAAGGCCCATTAATTTCAACGGATTTTTGTTCAATAGAAAATCTGTCGTAAATTTCCCACGGAATAAAAATCCGTCGGAAATTTACAACGGAAAACATGTCCGTCGGAAATGGTCCGTCGAAAATCGGCCTGTTTCTAGTAGTGTGTAACATCATCCATATTATGCAACATAAACGTATAAAATTCCTCCCGTGTAACCATGGATCGATTGGGGCATTGTTTAGCAACATGTCCCAAACCTTGGCAACGAAAACATATTGTCTAATTGTTTGGACTAAATATATATGCATATCCAAGGCATCAATATCATCATTTTATTATTTTTATTTATTTTTATTGAGTCGTTTTTTAATCATGAGGTTGAGTGGCGTCAATCCAAAGTTACGCGTGATTAATCGAATTAGAGTTGGAGTAGAATTAGTAGATTGAAAAGATATTATTTTCTAATATTATTAGAAGATACATTTTGCTATTTAGGATTAGTATTTAGTATTTATATCTTATATATTTTGCTATTTAGGATGAGATGCAGTAAAATACTTGTAATTGTTATTGTCTAATTGCTAAGCTGGATTAAATCTAGAAAATTAACATCCAAGGAATCAACAACCATTAGTATGTGATTACTTTCTTATAAATTAAATTGTAGCTTATTGTTCAATTACTTAGAAGTTACATTATTGTAGGGGAAAGTTAAGTATGAAAGTTACACATATGAAAATTTTTAGAGTGATGACACATAGAGTGACACGTACGGGTGACACATAGCGATGATGTGGCGCCTAATCATATCGAGGGAATTGTGATACATGGCGTTAACACGTTGTCTCATTGTGTTTTAATATTATAGATTTTATTATTAGTTTTACAACAATCAACAATTTCACAACTTCAATCAACAATATTGGTATATAGTATATTAGAACTTCACTCAACAATTGACTTTCCTCTAAAAATATGAAGCCTTCACCACTAGACCACTATACGCATAATAACAATCGTTGGGGAATTTTTCTGTGTGGCTGGCCACATTGTGTGGCCGGGGCTACTCGAGTTACTCGGTTAGGGGTGACTCAAGTTGTCGGAGTTACTTGAGTTACTCGTTCAGGGGTTACTCGAGTTAAACTTGACCGAGTAACCCCTCAAGTAACCCCTAACCGGGTTACCCCTCAAGTAATCCCTGATCAAGTAACCCCTCGAGTAACCCCTGATCAAGAAATCCCTCAAGTAACCCCTTACCGAGTAACCCCTGACCAAGTAACCCCACAAGTAACCTCTGACTGAAAAAAATTGATATGAGGTTTAGAATCCATTCTAACTAGATTTTGAAATCCGACGGGTTTATCGTTTGCTTCTTTTCCAATGATAGAATATGTTAATCATTTATAAGCTTGTATAAATCTTAGCTGCATATGCATTTGAGAGTATACATATATATATTAAATTCTTGTTATTAGCCCTTCCCTTTATAAATCTGTTTAGCTTCCTCCAGCCTTAAGAGTAAAGAGTGTACGACTAGCTGTATTTCGATCTAGTAATAAGGTTCTTTAAGATGCAAGCAATTGAGAAGCACGGGCCATTTGGCTCCAATAGTCCACCAAATTGGAATGTAATACTTGAAGAACGGGCACGTATCAAAGAAATTATTATTCGCTACGGTTTCATTGTTGATTCAATTGGGTTCTTACTTGAAGGTAGTAATGGAAGAACCACTGCTAAATTGTTTGGCGGCAGAGGCGGAGCCTGTTCGAAGGTAAGTACAGCTACAATTATATACGCATGATACAGAAGAATGAAATACTGAGCTTATATAAATCCATTCATTATTGTTATATGATGTGCATCCTAATGTAACAGATAAATTAGTCTCAAGTTTTCATCCTTATTATCAATTAACTTAGCTTGGCTTTTATAAAACCATTCATTATTGTCATATGATGTGCAGATTACTCTGAAGCCTGATGAATATATAACACAAATAAGCGGCAGATGTGGGATTTATGTGCACAGCCATGATCATGTAATCGCGTCCTTAAGAATACACACCAACTTATGTGAGGGTGGATACGGACCATACGGACAAGAAAGAGATGTTAGACATAGTTGCAGTTTTTCAACTCCAGATTCCGGAGGGGATGATGGTACTATCGTTGAAATTTATGGAAGACATGATGGCTACTATCTTCGATCAATAGGTGTTTGTTTTAAAAAGGTTAGACCATTTTCTAAGTTTAAGTTATTTTGCATTTTCCAACTTTTTAAAGTAATCTTAGTTCGTCCTTTTTAGTTGTATCACTTTTGGTATCACGTATTTTCAGACAATTTTTAGAGTAAAGAGAAAAAATAAATGGGGCCATGTGATAGGAGAGATATAAATGTAATTTATTAGTTAAAAAGGAAAATGATGCATTTAATTTAAAACTTTCCTTTTAGGAAAAAGTGATGTAACTAAAAAAACAGAGGAAATAATAATCATGTATGGCTCTTGTCTTAGTGGTAAGGGTTTGGTCTCATGTTTTAAAGGTCATGTGATCAAATCCTCATAGCTATTTGATAGTGAAGATCTATTTTATTTTTCCCCCTCTTTTGTAATACTTCCTCCATTCTCTTATAAAATAGAACATTTTGACTTTTATATTATTCATAAATTCCATTTTGACCAGCTTTAATGACTTATAGCTAAGAAAAAATATAGTCAGGTGGCATGTTACATTCGTCTCGATTTTTTTTTATTAATATATCAAATTTATTTATTTTACTTATTTTTACATATTAGTAATATAAGTATTAGAGAATGATGTAATATATTAACAATGTAAGAAGTGTTGTATTTACAACAAACCATCAATTTTTTTGTCAGGAGCAAACCATCAATTTGAGGAACTAGCCTCAACAATAATACATGCAAGTTAAAATGCTAGCCTCCATTGTTGAATTTTTTTATGGGCTTTCATCAGTTTTCACAGCTGGATATTAAAGCCTCAATCTTTGTTTATTGTGTGCTTTTTATCTTGATTTTTGTTTGTTTTAGGTTTATAAGAACTCTTCCCTAATAGGAGAAACATTTCTCCTTCAAAGAAAGGTTTTTTCTTCTTGTTTAATTAGGAGGATTTTTCTCCTTCAGAAGATAAGGTTTTTATTTCTTTCCTTTTTTGAGGGATCGGAGTATTTGCTATTTTGTTTGATGGGTTAATGTAGAGTTGCTTTCATGGATAAAAATTTGTGTGGGATCGAAAAAATGTTTAATCTTTCAATTATAATCAGACAAATCCGACGGAAATTTTTCTTCACAGCTACAACAAAACAATAGACCCATCACAGAAAAAAGTCGTAAATCATAGCGATTTAAAAAAGGGTATGCAGAATGTACGATTTACAACAACGGTCATATCTTTGTAGATGTCGTATGACTTTTGGTTTATGAATAAATCATTATTAAAAAGAAGTGTTGTATTTACTATTTAAAAAAATGTGGTATTTACTATTTTTTTAAAATAAAAAAGAAAAATGTTGTATTTAAAAAAAAAAAGATACATTGATATTTAATTTGATGGTGAAGACCCTTTTATCTTTCCCCCCATCTTTAAATGATAAACTTTTGTGATTTTTATTTTTCAGATATTAAAATATTTACAAAAAATTCTTATTTTTATTGTTATTTGGATGATATATTACAAGAGTGGAGATGAATTGTAGTATGTTTCTTAGTGCAATATTAAAATGAGAACCAATAATACAATAGGAACTAGGAACTAATTGTCGCATCTAATGAGGGGCGCGCGCTATATCGAGGGCTGTGATCTATTCAGACGCGAATTCTCTCTCCTCCGCGATTTTCTCTCTCCTCCGCTCCTTTCTGTTTCATTCTAACGGACGCCATTTTTGTTCTCCTCCACCATTTTCTTGCTTTCTTACCTCAATCAACAACTCGATTTGATTTTGCTATAATTTAAACAATTCTTCAATAATTTGCTAAACTAATTGCACAATTTCTTAACTATAGAGGTAATTATTGTAAATTTGGTATTATTCGATTTTTAGGGTTTAATTTTTTTTTCTACGTTTATCGGATCATATATCCTATCAATTTGGAGCGTTCATTTGTAATTTCGTTAACAATTGCTTTGCTTCATTGAAGCTAATGATCTGTATTCTCCATTAAAGGGAATTTCGAGCTTTTTCGAGGTTTTGATACTCCATTGAATCAGCTTCTGAGGCAAGACGTTTTATGTCTTTTTTATAAATATCTGAATTAAATTTCAATTTTAATATTTCTTGTTTTTCTTCAATTTTAAATCAAATTGCAATTGAATTTTAATATTTCTTGTTTTTCAGCCTGAATTTGTTTATTTTTTTTTACTTTACATTGAATTAATTTTGATTATTCAATTATTGTTGTTGATTTCTTAATGCACACTAAGTGTTTGACAAAATGCCTCAATGAATCCAATTAAAAGAGGGGTGCTGGTATGCCCCTTCTTATAGCCTGGTCACCACCTGATGAGGGGTGGGGAAAGCTGAGTGTTGATGCTGGAGTTGTAGGGGAGTTAGGGACTAGTCTGGGGGCAGTGTTGCCTAACTATAATAAGGATGTTTTGTGGTGCAGGGCATCGAGTGATGGGAGACAAATGTAGCTGAAGCTATTGGCTATCATATGGGGTATGAAATTTGCGTATGACTTGGGCTGGAGAAGTATTATTGTGGAAGGAGATTGCCTTGCTGTCAGTTAGACTCATAAGTTAATGAAAGTAAACATAGTTAAATTATCGATTATGCTTTGGAGTTTTAATACAAGTGCTACAACCTATTAGTTCAAGTGTTATTTGAGCTAATATAGTTGAAAATTGCTAATATATAGTTGCCTCTTCATCCAATATGTGTAATTTGCAGGCTTGGAAGTATCTCTGGGCTTCTCCTATGTAAGAAAGATGTGGCTACTGAAGATACAATCCGGAGAGCTATGGGCATAATTGGTGAGCATGAGAAAGCTATTATTCAACCTGATCGCATGTTTCTCATATAACTGCTATACAGTGATGGAAACCTCCTGAAATTGGGGTGTTCAAGTTGATTACCAATGCAGCCTGCTTGGAGGATATTTCATTTGGTCTGGGGGTGTTATTCGTGACACTACAGGTGATGTTCTGCTCGCTACTTGTTGCAGGTTGCAGGGCAAATTTGCAATTGATGTTAGTGAGGCGCTGGCTGCAAGGAATGCTTTGCAAATCGCAATTGAAGCAGGTCTCAATAGAATTATATTGAAGACGGACAATACTAAACTATACCATCATCTCAAGAGCAACAAACGAGAGAAATGAGGTTGCTCACATATTAACACATTTGAGTAAATGTTATGTTGAGATGAGAGTCTTCCTTAAATAAATTTGCTTGTTTGCTTTGTTTCCAAAGAAAAAAAAGTGAAACTATTAGCTTAAATGCTAAACTATTTGCATGATTATCCATAAATCTTTTGTGCATTTGCATGATGCTCTACCTCTTGAGCTAGTAGGCTAGTGTATATAAAGTTGACAATAGTAAAAGGAGCAAAGACAACATCACAACTTCAAAATCAGTCGCTAAGACCAGATGAAAGTTCCAGTTTAGAAGCCTTGGAGGTTCTAGAGAGACGAGTGATCCATATATAAACTTGGATATTTATATTAACACTTGGCTGTAATATTACAAAATTCATCCAAAACTATAATACGACTATACAAGGCTACATAGTTTTATTCATAGAAACGCAGGTAACATTTACAGCAGCAGTTGGAAGAGCAGAAGTAGCATAGTAGCAGCAGGTAGCAGAGTAGAAGTAGCATAGTAGCAGTAGGCAAGCAGAAGCAGCAAGCCATGGTAGGGCAGCAGCTGCAACAACCTTGGCAGGGCAGCAGCTGCAGCATCCTTGGCAAGATAGCTACACTCAACCACAATGTAGGGGTCAGACACCGGTTCTTGATGGCTGATGCACTCTCATATTCCTACAGAACCAAGATGCCCAACTCAGAGTACAGAATAGACTTGGTTCTTATAATTGTGAGTGTATAGGGGAGGGTCTAGGGAGAAGTCTTTGTAATTAGTGCGTTGTACACATTACAGTGAAGTCCAAAATCTGAATGCTAGCCTCTTTGCACTTGTTTCTAGCATTGACTACCTGTACCACATCACCAGCCTAGCTCTTTCATCCACCCAAACAACAGCAACCAACACACAGTACCACACCCTTTTCTTTGTGTTCCTTCACCACATATAACCACACCATTCACACAACACCCAAGGCTATAAAGAAAACCCACACAACAACTAGCCACACCACGAATAGCAACAAATAGCCACACCATTCACACGACTAAGGCCAAAAGAAAAATCTACAATACCTTGTTTCTACTACCAAAAAACAAACCCACACAACAACTTCAAACGGCTCCACGCAGCCATTAACGTCACCACCACACAACAAAATACAGAACTCAATTATTACCATCAACTCAAAAGTAAATTATATGAGCTCAAAAGTAAATTACTTGAGCTCAAAAGTAAATAATTATCATCAACCCATATTCATAATTACTCTGGAAAAACAATGCCACTCAATTACAACCATGTAATAAGGCAATATTCAATTGAATTCATATAATACACATATCATCAATGTGTATGACATATAATCATTATCTAAAGTTCTAAAATTTGCAAACTACTACATATTTTATAAATTTCTCAAATTAATTTGATCAAACATCAAATTCGATTATATTTTAATCAAATCGAAGCTAAAAAACACATAAAAATTCAAATATAAGGATAGAAAATCTTTAACTTATAAACAACTAATGAAATAAGGAATTAAGGAAATCGGAGAAAAATTTACATAATTCATAAATCTAATGAAATTAAAAATCAAAGAGGATAGAAATTCTTGAAACTAACAAATTAAATTCCAACAAACCCCAACAAAAACACCACACATAACCAGTGTCTACCATATGAATTAATAAGTAAAATCCTATCGTACTCAACCAAAATTAACAAAAACCCTAATTTCAGGCTCAAATTATTTAATCCAAACTAAAAACTACAAATCCTAAAAACAAAGAAAATCAAAATCATAATTACTCAAAGTAAATCAATCAAAAAATCTTACTTGTCCAGATTCAAGCCGAATCAAAAAGAGAAGAAGAAGGCAGATGAAACCATGAGAAAGAGTGTAGAAGAGATTGCAATAATAGAGAGAATGCCAGGTAAAGAGAGAAAGTGTAATGAAGAGAGAGAAAATGAAAATGAAAATCGGGTTTGATTGAAGGTAGTCATTCTAAGCACTAAATTACAATTTTACCCTTAATGAAGCGGGTAGAATTTCGACCGTCAGATGATTCGT